TGTGTGTGTGTGTGTGTGTGTGTGTGTGTGTGCGTGCAGTGGTGTGTGGTGAACGAGCTGGAGAAGCTGCCGTCTCTGCTTCATCTGTCCTGCAGGAGGAACCCGCTGCTGCAGAGAGAGAAGAACCTGGAAACCTCGCGTCAGATCATCATCGCGCGACTGAGCCGCCTGGAGCTGCTCGACATGAGACAGGTGACGCTCAAACCAAAGTCATTTCTGAGTTCAAACTTTAACACTGTAAGGCCTTACATATGACACAATAGTCCGGAAAAATCAGCATGTGTTTTTGTTGAGTATCATATTTGATGCATCATGCGTTTATGGCTCATACAGTCTGATAATGTGAGATTATGGAGGAAAAAACAGCTCAATCTTATTCAGGGACTCAAACTGAGCAAAAACATGAATTTGGTACAGATACTGATATGATGAAATTCTGATGCTTGTAATGTAAATCAATGAGATACTCCCATAATATCAGTCATATAAGTCAAATAAGATATCTTTTGGACCTGAAGTAGAGAACCTAGAGAAAAAACCAACAAGATATTTTTTGGTATGATGGTTTGGGGCTTAATGATGAAACTGTCAGGATAAGTAGCTCAATTCAGTCGCTATAATATAATTCAACAGTAATCTGTGAAAATATCTTGCTACTCTCCAGTTGATCCCACAAGCTCTGATCGCTTCTTCTTGAGCTCTCAACCAATGATTCACCAGAGCTCCGCAAGGACCGCCCCCTCATTTGCATATTGCACACCGGAAAATAAAAAGAAATAAGTGAATAAATAAATCTGGAAATGGGAATAAATAAATGCATGAATAAATACATTTAAAAATAAATAACTAATACATACATACATAAATTAAATATTAAAAATAAATGAAAGAATAAGTAAATAAAAGTTAAAAAGAATAAAAATAAATGTAAAAATACAGAAAATAATACATAAAGAAAAAAGTTAATAAAAATAAAATAAGGATTACATTTTATATATATTTGTTTTTATCAAGACATTTAATATTTTTTTTTATCGTCATGTTATTACATATATTTATTGATTTATAAATTTACATTTAATTAACCATGATGTTGTAAAGCGTGGTTAATCCTGAAATCGGTTAACCGCTGCATCCCTAGCCATATCTCCAGGAGTCTTAGTACGATGAGATTGAAATAATGCGATGCAATCCAGTGCTGATCGAGAGCTGAAGAAATACAGGCTCCTCAGAAGATGTGAGATGTTCTGGAGGCTTGTGAAGATCATTCCTCCGCTGAGGAACAGTGAAAGTAAAGCTTCTGGAAACAAACGCTCCTCAAAAGATCCTGAGGATCAGATTTGAGACTCTAAAACATGATTGATGGAGAATCAAGTAAAGCTGAGCTGCTTCAGTGCAGTAAGTGTTCATCTGGAGATATTACTGACGTTATTCTGACGCTTACTTGATCAAAACCAGTCAAGATCTGACACGAGAAGCTCCAGCTGAAGCTGGACGCTTGTACAATTACACTAAAAGAGCTTCGACTGGATAAAACACTCTAAACTCTCAATCAGAGACAGAAGACGTGGAGGAGATTGATCATGACGATCACTTAGAGGCCTTGCGTATCAAATATGCTGCAGTAGCTTGATCTGGTGTTGTTCTCAGGTGTTGTCGGATGAGAGGAGGGGTGCGGAGCTGGATTACTGTAAGATGTTCGGAGCGGCGTGGCTAAAGGCCGGAGGTCACAGTGACCCGGAGAAGAACCAGCCCAACACAGACTTCATGAGCGAACACCCACGATTCCTCGCGCTCCTCCAGAGTGAGTCCAGCGCTGCGGCTTTCTACTCTGAGCTGGGAAGCTCCGCCCACAGAGGAAGCTCATTGGTTCCGCTCATTTACATATTAAGCATCTGATCTGATCTCATTAGCTGGTCACGGCTTTCTGATGGTTTGTTTGTTTGTTTGTTCAGAGTACGGTGCTCCAGACGAGGGCGAGCTGAGAGAACAGAAACCATTTGCTCTAAAAAATCAATTATTAAGTAGGAATCTTCCGTCATCTTCACATCAATACAGAGCGTTAAAACCATCGCCGCATGAAGGTCTCTCAACGTCTCTGCTTTCATTTCAGCCGTAACGTTCATCTGTCCGGAGGATTCGGAGAGGAAGCCCATAGAGAAGAAGCTGCCAGGTAAAAGCGTGCATTAGAAACGCTGACGAGTCTTGCGTGTGGCAGATGTTTGAGGTGTTTTCTGCTGTTTTCAGGCTCGATGATCGTTCAGAAGGTGAAGGGGCTTTTACATCGGCTGCTTAAATTACCAGGAATGGAGTTAAAGCTCAGCTACACCTGCTGAGCTTATTTATTCAGCGTTCAGCTGATGCATAACTCTCAATTTCCAAAAATTGCCACTTATGACTGGTTTTCTGCTCCAGAGTCACACATATTTAAAATACTATTAGTTTTCGTTAATATTTTATTATTTTTTTCTGTTTTCACTTTAATTTTAATTAGTTTTTTTGTTTGTGTTTTGTCATTTTTATTCGTTTTTTTTTACATGTCTATATCGTTTTTATTCATTTAATTTATTAGTTTTAGTTCACTTAGTTTTAATTGTTTTAGTACTTCAAGTTAAACTAAATGAAAATGAGAAATGAAAGTAGCTGAAATAAACAAAGTTTTGTTTTTTTGTATCTTATTTTATTTCAAGTTTCTTGTCAAGTAACAAAAAATATTTTCTTTATGGTTTTAGTTTTGGTTGTTCATTTGAGTTAGTTTTAATAATTTTGTGATGTGTTTTTGTCATTTTTATTAGTTATATATTAGGGATGCACGATATATCGGCCACCATATCGGTATCGGCCCATATCGGCTCATTTTTTCTGAAATACTATTAGTTTTCGTTAATATTTTAAATTAGATTTTATAATAATTTTTTCTGTTTCCACTTTAATTTTAATTTGTTTTTTTGTTTGTGTTTTGACATTTTTATTAGTTTTTTTTACATGTCTATATCGTTTTTATTAATTTATTTAATTTATTAGTTTTAGTTCACTTAGTTTTAATTGTTTTAGGACTTCAAGTTAAACTAAATGAAAATGAGAAATGAAAGTAGCTGAAATAAACAAAGTTTTGTTTTTTTGCATCTTATTTTATTTCAAGTTTCTTGTCAAATAACAAAAAATATTTTCGTTTTGGTTTTGGTTGTTCATTTGAGTTAGTTTTAGTAATTTTGTGATGTGTTTTTGTCAGTTATATATATATATGTATGTGTGTGTGTATAATGAATTTTTATGTATTAGTTTTTTTTTTTTTTTTACATTCTATAAATTAAATTTTTTTTTTATTCTATATACAGTATATATAATTATTATTTTTTTTTTTTTGTAGACTATGTTTGGAATGAAACACAGGCATACTGCCTACTGCAAATGTACTAAAATAATTTTTGGAGGCAAAATAATCAGATAATATAACTTTGTTGTATTATTTTGTGATATCCCATCCTATAGCTCGCCGGTAGAGAGATTGAGATTGACAACGATCTGAAGCCGCTGGAGTTTTACTCGGTGGAGGACGGCGACAGAATTCTGGTGCGCTGGTCCTGAAGAAACCATTTGAGTCCATCAGCTTCGGCACTGACCCCTGAAACGCTCCACGGATCACGACAGGAATGATCTCCACATTTGTGTTCACGATTATAGCACAACGTCATTCCTCCAGAAAACAAAGCATCTAGAGCATGAAGTTTAGTTTTGTTCAAATCATTACAGTCTCTCGCTTCATTGCCTGGAGCAAACACTGCAGAAAGATCTTAAGATCAGTGAATCTCATAAAGAAATGCACTGATCAATTTCACCACAATATCGTTTTTTGTTTTTCACAATAAAATCAACCGAGTACAACATACTGCAAAACTGTACTTTCATGTGATGTTTAAATTATAAAGTACATTTGTAAAAGCATTTTCTCATGTTAACAAAATACAACTGAAAATAGTTTAAATGTGCCTTAATTTCATTTACAAAATGCCAAAATATTATTAATAATAATAGCCTTTTTTAAAATTATGATTCTTTTGATTTTGGATAAAATGACCAGGATTTTCTTGACTTAATTCATGAAGTGTAATTAAATATCAAATAAACACAGTAACATGTTAAATATATGTTTGCAAATCTGTGAGGTCCGAATCATTAAAAAGCTACATTCTCTCCGAAAAGAACAAAATTGAAGTAGTGCGCGAGTAAAACCAGTGTTTTTGCCTTGCCCTAAATCACTATTTTATAAGCCTATAATTATTTATATTTTCGAGCTGTCAGGCCGGATTTCCCGGGAAACTGCATACCCAAGGAAAAAAGTCCGTTTCCGCCACGTGATAAAAAAAATAAAAGTTATTGCTACTTTTTAGTCTCACAATTCTGACCTTTTTCTCATAATTGCAAGAAAAAGTCCCAATTGTAAGATATAAACTCAGAAATGTAAAAAAAAAGAACGCGTAATAAAACCGGAATCAACATATAATAGAATCCCATTCTCTGCGCGGTGACGGTCTCAGATCAATGTTTATGTTGGGAACGATGCCAGTCTATAAACCAGTTACTGCTTTGGTCTATTCTCCTACAAACAGCTTTGCTGAGTTATTATTTCCATCTTTATCTGATATGAAGCAATGTCAGCATGCCAAACTTTTAACGTTATTTTAAAATAATTGATTTCAAAACAACATTGACATATAAACTCTTACCTGGCTGCTCATATTTTTTTGGATATCTTTCTTTCGTTTCGTTTCGATGTCGTTAGTGAAGCTCGCGCTGATAAACATCAGATTCATCCGCGCAGAATCACGGAGTCGAAGCACAACTCACGTGATCTCCCTCCGCGAGTCACTCGGTATTTGGTGCTTGAACTGCTCCAGAGACAAGAGCTACACTAGCAGTCAAACGTTTTTTGAACAGTAAGATTTTTTATGTTTTTTAAAGAAGTCTCTTCTGCTCAGAAGCCTGCATTCATTTGATCAGAAATACAGCAAAAGCAGTAATATTGTGATATATTTTTACTATTTAAAACAGCTGTTTTCTAAGTGAATATCTGTTAAACTGTAATGTATTTCTGTGATGCGCAGCTGTATTTTCAGCATCATTACTCCAGTCTTCAGTGTCACATGATCTTCAGAAATCAGTATAATATGCTGATCTGCTGCTCCAGAAACATTTCTGATTATTATTATTATTATTTGCATTAATATTTAAAACAGCTGAGTACATTTTTTTCAGGATTCTTTGATGAATAGAAAGATCAGCATTTATCTGAAATAAAAAGCTTTTGTAACATATACGATACCATTCAAAAGCTTGGAGTCAGTATCTTTTGTATTTTGGGGGGGGATGGGGAAAGAAATTAATACTTTTATTTAGAAAGGATGCTTTAAATTGATCAGAAGTGATGATAAAGACATTTATA